CGGGGGGGGTCGCAGAGGGCTGCATTTGTTATGGGTTGTTGATTTTGAACCACCACCGACGGGGAAGTGCTAGTGTCTAGTAGTGTTCAAATGCTTCTCCCATGGCTTAAAGGCCCGAAGGGCCTTTTGCCGTGGTTAGAAGGTGTGTACACCTAGACTGGGAGGCGCTGGTAAAGGCAGCAGTCGCGCCGACCAGCGCATGCTGTTGTGGCCGCTCTTCTCGCAAAAGTACACTATCTCCCAATTACTCATGTAGGGAAGCAGCTCAATAAGGGCGTGCACAGATTAAAAACAGACGAAAGTACACAAAAGGGGGGGGGAAGAACGAGTAGGGAACGTCGCATGGGAGCGGGAGCATGAATGTACAAATTGTATAAATAGGGTGGCTGGAGGGTTCAGCAAAATGCGGATATTTAAGACAGACTATGGTAAAACTGAATAATGCGAAATGCTTAACATTTTCGTCTGTCTGTTCACCGACAGGCGGAGGCCGAAACAGCTGGCAGCCAAGGGCACATGCACGCGCAGCCGCAGCTGCTTCGTAGTCTTGTAGGGTATGGCGTCCGCCTAATTCCCATTTGTGGTGTTTTTGGTGTTTTCGTTTATTAAAAGGAAACCTCAAAAGTCCGCACTGCACGTTGGATACCCATCAAAGGGGAGAGGGGAGCGCGCAGGCTCGAGGGGCTGCCTGTCTGTCGTGTATTGTTGCTTCCTCTTGCTGCCTGAGGCAATTATATTCGACTTGTAAATATTATTTGAACATTCAAGCGATTATTTGGGGAGTTGGGAGCAGGGCAGAAGGAGAGGCACTGTGGCTGTTGCGGCTGCTCCCGCTGCTGCTGCTCTTTCTGCTGCTGCAGTTCGTTGCTAGGTGCTGCTTGCTGCTGCTGCAGCACACGCAGCCCTTATAATGCGCCTGCCTTGCATGTTCCAGGGCCTCCTCCGAGGGCCCCCTTCGTGCCGAGGGGGCCTCAGCCCTTCTCGCTAACCCAGCACAGCTGCAGAACAGCTGCGGCTGTAGGGCCGGAGCTGCAGCAGCAGCAGCAGCAGCTGCTGCTGCTGCTGCGCCACTAGCAGGGTCTCTTCGCAGGCCCTTGCCCTGGTAGGCATCTCCAACATCCGCTGGCTTGCCCAGAAGCAGGACCAAGGGCACCACCAGCAGCACCAGGAACAGCAGAGGCAGAGACAACGGCGGCAGCAAGGGAGACGGTCAGTGCGGCGGCAGCAAGAGAGGCTACAGGCGTAGAAGCACCACGACAGTTACCCTCTTGGTATCACCAACAGCGCCAACAGCAACAACAATAGTATCAGCGCCAGCTGCAGAAGTTGAGGTGACCGGAAGGAAGGAACTAGAAAGAGAACAATTTATTTCAGCACCAGTGCCAGCAGCATCAGCTCGCAGCAAGTGCAGCAGTTGTCGATCAGTTGGACCCCGTGTTAGCAGCAACAGCAGCGGGAGCCGCGGTAGTAACGCCAGCAGGAGTAGGGGAGGCAGCAGCAGGAGCGGTGGCATCGGAAGCAGCAGGAGCAGCACAAGAAATAGCACCAGAAGAAATTTCTTTTGTTTCGAGCGCTGTGCGCTATACCTCTAAGGGCTAATAGCCAGTATGTCTCTATACGGGTGTATATTCCGTAGGGTTTTGGTGCAGAGAGTGTATATGCTCTGCTTTTAACTGTTGCTCTGGCTACGTTGCGCATCTTTCCCGGAGTGGCAAGACTACATTGAACGGGAGCAGCAAGCAACTGCAGCAGAAGAGGGAGAGAGATACATTTCTAGAAAGTAGTGGGACTGCACAGCTGCGGAGAGGGCACTACGCAGCAAAATGACTGTTCGTACAGTGGAGGTTGTTTTCTCTTTTTTGCTTCACCCTTGTTGCTGCAGGAAAACAGACAGCAAGACGACGGACATCTGCGTCGTCGCTGCTGCTGCTGCCACCGTTGCTTTTGCTTCTTATTCTGCTGCTGCTGCTGCTGCTGCATGCGGACCCTGGAGACGTCAGCAGCCGATTTGGGCGCTGCTCCTCGGACCTCCTCCTCGCGCGTCCCCGGCTGCCTGAGAACACTGAAGATGAAGTTCGTCCCTCCCTGACCTAGGGTTTGGCCGGTCGCTGTTGCTGTAGCTGATCCTGTTGCAGTTGCTGCTGCGGGTTGCAGCAGCGTGCGGTCTTGGGAAGGCGGATGTCGGTTCTTTGCTCAGCTCTAGTGTGCAACCCACCTTGGTGCTGCTTCTCTGCACTTTCTCACTGCTACTGCTATTGATGTTGCTGATGCTATTGCTGTTGGTTCTGCAGGCTCTTCCAGTCGATGCGACGCCGTATATCGTCGCGGGAGGGGTTTTCGCGCAGCAGTTCACAGCAGTCTGACAAGCAACAGCAGCAGCAGCAACAGCAGCACGAGCAGCAGGAGCAGCAGCAGGCGTCAGATCAGGCACAACAGCAGGAGGCAGCAACAGTGGCATTAGCAGCAATTGGTGATGCTCCAGCGGCAGCAGAGAAGGGTGATACGCTGAATACTGCCCTCCACACCACTGGACGAAGCGCGACACGAGAGCGTCTCCTGCATGCAGATAGCCTTAAGAACCAAGACAGGCATGTCCTTTTCTGGGTCTATGTTTCCATCTGTGTTGCTGTTTCTCTCCGTGTCAGCCTCTGCCTCTGTCGCTTCGTCAGTCTTCGTCTCTGTCTCGCCATTTTCTGCCTGCCTGTCTTTGTCTCTACCTTGTGTCTATTCAGCTGTGCTGCAGACCGACGGAGCGCCTCCGCGCGGGCGCTGCTACTGGGGAGGCCCCCTCAGGCCCGGGCACCTTGTCCCTTCCCTGCGGATTTGATGCCCCTCATGGAGGCCCCTGTAGCAGACAGACCGGAGCTCTTCAGAAAGAAGCTTGCGGTATGTGGCCAGCCGACTGCCCTTTACCTCTTGATTTTAAACCCGCATGTTGCTTCCTTTTGTTCCCTGTTCTGTGCTGTTGTCTCCTGTCGTCCAGTCTGTCCTTCCATTTTCTGGTGGTTGTTTTTGCCGCCCACTGCTTCGCTCTGTCTACAACTGCTCCCCACTAAAAGACAGTGTGGAGCAGCTGTAGGCAGAGTCTGTCGTATTTTTCCTTCTCGACATGCCTTCTGCGGCCTACGAAGCCCGTTGTGATAACGCTTTCTCAGCTTCAGGGCGGGACTGCAACTAGTTGCATTTGCATTCCAGTTTGTGGCTGTATGCGTCTGGCGTGTAGCTGCAGTATATGCTTCATGCATTTTGTTGCGACTGTGGTGCAGTTGTATGCGTTGTGCGTGTACGTGGGCTGTTCGCATGCATATTTGTTCATTTTGGATGTTTTGCGCGTGCGTTGTGCATGAAGTTATGGTGTAAGCAGTTGCGTTTTGCGTGCACGTCTGGTGTATTCTGCACGCAAAGGTTGCATGCTTCACGGTTGCTGCTTCTGCAGGCTTGTTGTATTGTGTATGACTTCGAGTCGCCGGACTTTGCGCGGGACAAAGACCTGAAGAAACGGGCACTCGTGGAGATTGTCGAGTCCGCATCAACCTGTTGCTGTTGCTGCTGCTGCTCGTCCTGCTGCTGCTGCTCTTCCAGTTGTTGCGACTGCGAGCGGTCTTGCGGTGTCGTTGCCGCTTGTGCTGCAGCGTTTGCAGTACCTCCTATTGGCTTTGCTGCGGGTTGTGTGGGCAGTTGGTTCTGCTCTTGACATCTTGCTCGCTGGAAACCAGGACCCGCGGTTCACTGTTATTGTGTCTGCGGTCCTTTATGTCTCTACTGCCTCCATTTTTCTTCCGTCCCTGTTGCCGCCCGAGCCCCCGTTGTTTCTTCTGTCTCTGTCGTCGCTTGTGCCTCTGTTGCTTTTTCGTCCATGTTGGTTTTTTTGGATTGCCCCTTCTGTTTTCTCGTTGCTTTTGCTCCTTCCGCTGCGCGTGTAGCCGTTGTCGCGTTGCATTCCTTTGTTTCTTGTCGCGTGCTGCTCGTGCCATCCCTGTCTTCGTTGCCCCGTTTTCTGCCCGTTGCCGGTGTTGGATGGCTGGTGCTGATTCGATATCTGAGAAGAGACACGAGGGCGCCTCGCGCGCACGCTGTAGGAGCATTGTGATGAAACTTATTCTAGTCTCCTGTCCTCGATCTTGGTGCTGGTACTTTTGCTGGTCTTAGGTACGTGAACAGCACGCGACACTGTTTTTCGGAGCAGGTTTTGCAGGACGTGATGGACATGGTCTCTGCGAACATATTCCGCCCTCTGCCGCCGTCGCAGCACCGGGGCGCAGCGCTGCTGGAGGCGGAGGAAGAGGAGCCGCAGCTGGACAGCGCGTGGCCTCACATTCAAATCGTGTACGAGTTCTTCCTCAGATTCATCGTCTCAAACGACGTCAGCGCTAAACTTGCCAAGAAATTTATCGATCACCAATTCGTCCTAAAGGTCAAAGAGCCACCAAACTTAAAGCATAAACGCCGATCCCTAAACACTTCACAAACAAACCATTCAGTGCAGCTCAGCGGGGGATAATATCACCTAAACTCCACGGTGAACCCTGTGCCTCTGCGTGCTGCTTGTGGTGGGGGTGGTGGTTGTGGTTTCTGTGAGTCTGGGTCTGGCCCTCAGCCTCTTCATGACTGTCTGTGCTTGTCTTTTTACTGGATCTGTCCTTTTTCCCTCTTTATCATTGTCTGTCTGCCTTCTCCCCCCTTTCTCCCCTTACGTTGCGTACTGGGGACAGCGTGCATGTGATTTCCGCTTCAGCACAGCACGTTGGGTTGTACAGACAGTTGCAGCGTGTCGTTTGTGCTTTTTTCTTTATGCTTCATGCTGCTAACTGTTGTTCGTCTATCGTGCTGCCTCAGTTTCTGGAGCTCTTCAGCTCAGAAGACCCCCGCGAGAGGGACTACTTAAAGACCATTCTACACAGGATTTATGGGAAGATTATGGCATTGAGGTACGGTTGGCTTGCATCAGTGTCCCGACGCAACAGCAGGACGCTTGAACTCTATACCGCAAATCGTTTCTGGTTCCTTGTCGGTGTACCATGTGTATTGTTTTATTTTTATGCATCTGCGTGTGCCTGACGGACTTGTGGGTGGTGTTTTCTCGGTTCCTTCATGGGCTCTACTCTCGTGCTTGCCTGTGTGTTTGTTTGTTTGTTCGTGTGCTGCTGAGCGTTTGTTTGTTATTTTGTTTATGTATTTGCGTCGGCCGCATGTCTCTGGTGCTTTCATAGGTTCTTTGTGCGGAAGAGCATTCAGCAGGTTTTCCATCGCTTTGTTAACGAACAAGAGTCTCCCAACGGCATATCAGAACTCCTTGAAATACTCGGCAGGTGCGGACGCCTTGCAGTGCGGCCACCCTTAGAGTAACGCCTGCATTATGTTTGTGTGTTGTACTGTTTGGGCTTTCCCTTCTGACACCCGTCTTTTTTTATTTCTCGTACGCGTATGCATACACAGATATCCACGCATACCGCAGCAGGCATCCCAACAGCGGTAGCCGAGCTGTGTGTGCGTGTTTCGATGACTGCATATCCGTATAGACATGTCTCTACTCCCTCCGCTTACCTGTATTCTACGTTTTTTTTCGCCATATATTGTGCACTTCATTTATAACGTATTTGAAGAGCACACTCCATGCATCTATATATTAGCAGCTTCACGCACGTGGTATTAGTTTGTCGGTCTTCGTCTTCAAGTGCAGCAGGCCTTGTTTTGGGTCCTGCTGTTGCAGCGTCATTAACGGCTTCGCCGTCCCCTTGAAGGCGGAACACAAGCTGTTTTTGGAGCGGGTCTTGTTGCCTCTGCATAAGGCCAGGTCTCTCGCTGCATTTCACAAGCAACTCACGTACTGCATGGAGCAGTAGGTCGACACGCGACATAGCAATCGCATGCAACAACGACAGTAGCAACAGCAGCAGCGACTGCAGCAGCAACCGCTCGTTCTGTCGCTATCTTCGTTCATAACTGCACCCTGAAGGCTGCCTTATATTTGGGCAAGCAGCAGCAGCGTAGAAGCTGTGGGTGCTTCAGCAGCAGCAGCTAGCAGAAGCATGGGCGGCCTAGGAGCTAAGGAGGCTTCCTGTGGGGCGCACGCAGATATGTCTTTCTCCTGTCGCTTTTATCTCCCCCAATTTCGTTATCTAAGGGTCCTTGGATTGTCTGCGGTTGTGCCGTTGCTTGCTTGTCTTCCCATCTCGTGTCTCCTTTGCTGCTGTGTTCTGCTGTTCCATTTGTGCCTGTCCTTGCAATCACGTGTCTCAGTTGGCGGCTTAGTCCTTCCCTAAGTGTACGTGCAGGGCTTCTGTTGAAGTGCGGATGCACGCTTCCTTTGTGGCCACCTGCATGGTCTGGGGAATAGGGTTTGGGGCTTCCTGATGTTGGCCACTGTTTCGCAGGTACGTCGCGAAGGAAAGTCGCGTGGCGGTACCGATAATCCTCGGGATGGTCCGGTTTTGGCCTGCTTGCAACGCCCCCAAAGTGGTGTTATTTCTTAATGAGCTGGAGCACGTGAGTACTTCATTCCCCCCTGTTTTGGTGACGCCGTGTTTCACGGACGCCTTGATGAACGCTTGTTTGTGAACAGCTTTCGCATGAGCCGTTGCTTCATAGACACGTTTTTAACATGTAGCTGTTTCATTACAATCTTTCGCATTGTTGATCCATTTACGATCGGCGCCAGTTTCAGTGGTACTTTGTTTGAGAATTACATTGAGGACTCGGTGCAACCTCCTTCAGTTCTTACTGGCAGCCAAGGCACCCAGCCCGGCTTCCACCTCATCTTTTGTGCCGCTACCCTTCTCGGTTCTCTGCCTTTTACGGCTACTGCAGTTTTCCGTAGTAGGTGTCGGTACAGCAAAATATATGCCTAATGCGGTGGTGTTGCTGGTGCGGGTGGTTGTGACACCAGGTGTTGCAGGAGACGCAGCTACCCGAGTTTCAGGAGGTAATGCTGCCTTTGTTTACACGGCTGGCAGAGTGCATTCAGTCGCCTAACTTCTTAGTGGCGGAGCGGGTCCTGTTTCTGTGGAACAACGAGAAGATCGTTAGACTAATAAATCTCAACAGGCCGGTGAGGCGTGTTTCGGCAGTGCTTGGTAGCCTAGTAAACATTGATCTCTAGTAAGGACTAGTTCACCATCAGCATTAACAAACCTACATGATCATTTGTTAATAGAAAGATACAGCCAGGGAGAACTAACTGAGGCAAGGGGTAGGAGAACGCGAACTGGCTGATCGTGCTGCACCAGCATCTACTGCAGCTGCTGTCCACTGTAGCAATGAAAGGCAGAGACATCACAAACGAAACACAGAGAAGGCGATGACGAGAAGACATTTGTGGGGTGCGGCGTCCTTTGCTCTTTGTGGCTGCTGTAGCCAGTGCTGCTGTTGCTTCTGCGATGGCTGCTGCAGGAACTGTTTCCCATCATAATAGGGGCCTTATTTCGGAGCTCGCAGCAGCACTGGAGCGTTACTGTACACACTCTTACCTACAATGTCTCAAAATTGCTGGCACAGGCGGACACGGCCCTCTTTGACGAATGCAGTAGCCGATTTGTGGCTGAAGAGAAACGGTAGGCAGTCGCTTGTCGTTGTTTGTAAGGTTTCCTTTGCACTTAACCGTGCTTGTGTACACAAAACCGCACAGCAGGGGCAAATGGGGCATCGCTGGTGCCTCTGCTGTTGCCCTTCTGATCTAATCGGGTATTCTGAGGTGGAATAACTGGCGCATGCTCGGTGGTTGCATCGCTGCTGCTGTTGGTGCTGCTGGTTTTGTTGCTGCCGCTGCAGGCGAAAGGAACAGGAAGAAGAGAGAGCCCAGCGGTGGGCTGAGCTGGAGGCGGAGGCTGCAGCCAAGGGGAGTTGGAGGGCAGCTGCTGACGGTGAGGAGCAGAAGACAGTACCTGCTCACTGACGTCTAACGGCGGGCGTCCGCACTTCATACTCCGAAGAAAGAACCCTCCGGTGGGGGACAACCGAGCGTTCCTGGGGTCCCTCTCGCGTGGCTCTTCGGGTGGTCGAGCAGACCCAGCGTTGTGATCAGTAGCTGTGTGTCTGCATGCACGCACAGATATTGAAGTTGTAGTTTGCACAAACCCTGTCTTTTAAGCAGCTCGCGGAAGCTCCTTAAGGGGTGGTTTAATTGGGTGCTTGTGCAAGCTCCTCCTTTAGCCAATGCGGCACCCCAGAGCCTACGGTGTGACCTTGCTGGGGCGTTGAAGCCCCACGTAACCCTTTGGGGCCAGACCAGCCCCCTTCTGTCCCTCTGGGGTCAGTAGGGAGTAGCGTCGTTGCCTGTTGGGTTTTGGTAGGTTGCGAAGACTACAATATAAGGGCCCCTCGAGTCGTGCAGTACCTTTGGTTGGCCCATCGAGCACCGTATTGTGTGTGGTGAGGGCGCTCGCGGTCGCATTGAGTGTCCCGGGTACATGCATGGCCCTTATTTCACACGTAAGCATCTACTGTGAGTTTTTGTGCGCGCAACCCTTTTGGAGCGTACGTAAACAAAGCGTTTGCTGTCGTTTCTCCCTATGGTGGGCCGAAGATCAAAACCCAGTATTAGGGAATTAAGAGTGCAGCGGTAGCGGGGCGCCCGTCAAGTGTTGTGCGTGTCAGGGCTGCCCCTTGCAGCGCTGCTGTTTACGCGCCTTTCAATCGAACGCTTGTTGTGGCGAGACGCATCTGTATGTTTTGTGTGTGTTTCATATGGAGCACTTCGGGATGGCAACATCGAAGTCTATGGACAAGGGGCGGTTGGCCCACCCCAGCTTTACAGTAGCATCGTAGCAAGATAGGGAATAGTTGCAGTCAAATCAAACAGTGCTGCCTGCAGCAACCAATGCAGCGCGGATGCTTGGACCGTAGACGGAGCAGCGAACGGGCGTAGTATCTCAAAAATCAAATGACTCAGCACGCCCACGTCTCCCCGCAGCACCACTGCAGCACGTAGACAGCGCTCAACTTTCTGTACAGTCTAAAACAGACAAAGGCGGGCCAGCTTGGCGCCGTTAGCTGCCCTTGTCCGTTGCCCATAGAGCCTGCGTTGCAGCAGCTGTAGCAACAGGGTGCGGAGGCTACGAGCTGCCTCTTGAAAGAGGAATATGTTCAGTGTCACAATCATATTTGTCTGCTTTCTCTTGCTCTCCAGCTTGCGCGGAGACGCACGTTGCTGAGTGCAGGTTTGCAGGTGCTATCTTTTTGTAGTGGGTGTACCAATCATGCATTAAACAGTGCAGCAGTTGTGAAACGGATATGCTGCATTTCTAGGTGCTGCTCCAGCAAACGGAGCAAACGAGTCCGCTGCTGCAATCTAATGCTCCTTGCCAGCTTTTCCTCCCCGTCATAGACTCTATTGCCCCGCCCCTTCCCACGGTGTGTGCTCCCCGCTAGCGGCTCCCGTCTGTAGGTTTCCTTGCTTGGAGGGACTGCTGCTCCGGCCTGATTACCATAAGGTGGTCCCTGATGCACGTGTCGATGGCTGCTGCTGCTGCATTGGTAGTGCGTCTTTTTGTCCACGTTCGGTAATGCGATTTTGTTGCAGCCGCTGCTGCTACTGCTGCTGCGCTTGTTATATTTGCGGCCCTTCCTCCCCCTGTCTCTTTTGCCGTTTCGGTCTTCCTTTTCCGTTTTCGTATTCCGGCGGGCTATTTTAAACTCATTTTCTCCTTTGCCGTGCATCTCGTTGCTGCTCCTGTTGCTGCTGCTCCGGTTGTTGTTGATGCTGCCATAATGTATGCGGATGCGTCGTCCGCGTCGGTATTTCTGGGAAGGAGGCCAAACTGCTTTTGCCAGCGCACAAAGCAAACGCTGCCCCAAGACTTCTTCCCTGTGCAGCACTGTTCGTTCCTGTGGCTGTGCTGCTTCTGTTTCTACGGTTGGCATGGTTGGCACTCGCACTGAACCAGAAAGGCCCCCACTTCGTTGCTGCGGCTCTCGGTGCTCCACCTGCAGGCAAACGGGCTGTGCTTGATGTGGCTGCTGTGCTTGCTCGTGGTGCGGCTGCTGCAAGTGTTTATGTAGCTGTAGCAGCTGTTGCCGCTGCAGACAGCCCACACAAGTGGGTGCCGCAGCACCTACAGATTGGCCAGCGAAGGGAACTTGCAAGCAATAGAAGCTGCTGCCGATATTGCTGCTGCTACATAGTGGAAGCTGTGGCAGCACATATTCCTGTGGATAGTGAAGCAGCTGCGGTACAGCAAAAGCCGCAGACATTTCTGCTGCCGCTGGCGGTGGGGTTGTTGCCGCCGCTGTGGAAATCGCTGTCCCCAGGCCCCCAGTACACGACTCTATGCGGTCAGCAGCTCCTGGAGCATCAGCAGCTAATGCAGCGGCAGAAGCAGGTAGTGCAGCAGTAGATGCAGCTACTGTAGCAGCAGGAGCTGCTGCTGTAGCGGCGGGAGCAGCTGCAGTAGCAGCAGGAGCAACCACTGCAGCACCAGGAGCAGCTACTGCAGCAACAGGAGCAGGTAGTGCAGCAGCATATGCAGCAGAAGGAGCAGGTAGAGCAACAGCAGGAACATCTACTCCACCAGCACGATCAGCTGCTGCAGCAGTAGAGGCAGTTGCCGCAGCAACACGAACAGGCACTCCAGCTGCCGTCACGCAAGCAGCATAGGGAGGAGCTACCGAAGCAACGCGAGCAGCTGCTTCATCATCGGGAGCAGCTTCTGCAGAATCAGCAGCACCATCCGGGGCAGCAGCTGCTGCAGCACCGTGGAGACCTGTTGTGGCAGCAGGGACGGTTACTGCACCAGCAGCAGCAGCTACTGCGTCAGCCGCAGCTGCTGTGACCGCAGAACCCTTTGCTACACGCGGGAAGGCTCGCTGTGCAACAGAAGAAGCCACGCCAGAGCCAGGGTGAATGAGGGCATCAGCAGGCGGAGTTGCCGCACTAGCATCTGTGGTTGCAACTGCGGGAGACTCCACTGCGGTGGGCGCTGATGTTGCTCCTGCCGGGCCCTGCGAAGCAGCCGCACTGGCAGGCGCGGCAGGTACAGCTGTTGCATCTAGCTGTGCCGGCTGTGCGGCTGCTGCGCAAGTGGACGGAGGGCAGGAAGCATCCGCTGCACTGGGCCACGCAGCGTCGCGTGTGCATACAGTGTTGGATTCTGGTGCTTGCATCTCGCTTGTCTCGGCAGCTTCTGGGGCTGCTGCTGCTGCTTCTGCTGTTGTTGCTACTGCTGGCAGCTGAATAACTGCGCCAGTGCCTACTATCTCGAACTGAACGGAATCCACAGCGTAAGCGTAGCTTTTTGCCGACGGCGTTGCTGAAGGTGGGGTTTGGGGTGTCAATCCCATCTCTATTGCTGGGTTCGCTCCCGCTTCTGCTGCTGTTGCTGTTGCTGCTGGTCCCATTGCTCCTGGATCTGCTGAAGTGACTGCTGCAACAGCACCCGCAACCACCTCTTCTGCCTCGCCTGAAACTGCAGAATGACCTACGGTCGCTACTTGTTCCCCTGTCGACTCTATTAACGCTGGTATATCCGCCGCTGTTGCAGCACTGGCCCATCGCTGAGTTGCAAATTCAGCAGCATCGTTGTGCTGCTGAGACCGCTGCAGGTCCGGAGTAGCTGTTGCAGCACTGTGCTCTGCTGTTTCGAGCTGTGTTGCTTCTGTTATGGCTGCAGCCATGGTCTGTTGCTGTTGCTGCTCGCTATTCCGTTGTGTGCGAATATTCTTAGCTGCCTCATCCCCACTGTCCTCAAAACTGCTGCCATAACTCAGGTCTGTCGTATCTTCATTTTGCTGTTGTTGCTGTTGCTGCATTAATTGCGGTCTTTCCACCTGGTGTTGTTGTTGCGCCTCCCTGCCGTTCTGCCCAACCTGCGGCCCTGCAGCCTCTCCCTCAGTTCTTCGCTGCTGCCTTATGTGCTGCGACGTCGCGTGAGCACTTACGCTACGACAGGTTTGGTGCTGATGTTGGTTCCGCTTCTGCCTATCCTGCCATATCGGTTCATCGGCAACGCCAGTGTCTGTACGATGCTGCTGCTGCTGCTGCTGTGCTTCCTTCGGCCAGTCTGTCTCTAGCGCGCGCAGGTCTTCTGCGCTGTACCGTCGGCGCCGCTGGAGCAGCAGCTGCAGCTGCTGCAGCTGTTGCTGTGAGGGAGAGGCATCGGGGACAAACTCCGAAGGAGAAAGGGGGTGGCACGACGAATCAGGGGACAGGCGAAAGAGGAGGCTGTCATTTAAATGCAGGGTTCCTTCTGCTGTTGCTGCTGCTGCTTCGTCGCTCGCAGCATCAACTGCAGCAGACCATTCGTCAATAAGCTGTGAAGGTGATCCTGCAAGCGGTTGCTTTTCAGTCAGTCCGGATGCAAGTTGCTGCTGTTGCTGTCTCTGCTTCGGTTGCTTCTGCTCCCTGTTTGAACGAGAGTTTCCTTCCTGTGAGTGCTCAAGCGCACTCAGGGTGAGACTTGAAGGCCAACGGTCGCCGTGCAGCCATGGAAAAGGCCTTACCGGATGCTGCAGCTGCTGTTGGTGCTCTCCTTGCTGCTGCTGCTGCCTGCTGTTGGCTTCACCACTAAACAGCGAGGTATTTTCTGCATCTTGAGTTTCCCCTAGCAGTCGGTTTGTATCCCTTGATACGGAAGGCGGGTATCTGCACGCTGTATTCCCCCGGTGCTTCCTGCACAATGAGCGGCGTGTCCTGCAGCAGCAGGAGCACCTATTGCTGCTACTGTTGTTGCTGCTGTTACTGCGGTTGGGGCTGCTGCTGCTGCTCCTGAGAATCCCCAGGCGCCGCTTGATGCGGGCTATTACCTCCTCTGGCTTTGAGTTTAAAATGAAATCCTCCTCGCCGCACGTCAGGGAAGCACAGTCGAGCTTGGTATCTCTTCGATCCCGCCGTCTTGCTGCTGTTGCTGCTGGTGCTGGTGTTGCTATTCCCGTGACACTGCTGAAGACAGAAGCTCCGAGAGCAACGTCGGCGGGAGAACCAATGTACTGCTGTTCTGGAATCCACTTAAGCTCCTCCTCCACAAGCAACTGTACAGATGCAACACACGGCAACACGCAACCAGCAATGCAGCAACGCGTCACCCTGCAGCAGGGCTACTAAAAGCTGGTCCGTGCCCTCTGGTTCCAACCATCCAACGGTTAGTGCTCCTTACCGCAGAAGAGAAGTTCAGCCACTGGCTTATCAAAGACTCGCTTTTGCTACTGTTACTGCTCTTTCTGCACGACAGCAGCAACTCTTTATTCACTCCCTGCTGCAGCGGTGTTCCTCTAGCCTGCAGCACCAGCAAAGCAACACTGCATCAGCACCATGATGCATGCCGTACAAATTTACACTTTTGAGATACAGACGCAGGCCCCTTCCGCTGATTTTGGTGCTAATATTGTTGCGGTAGTTGCTGCTGCTGTATGAAAGACAGATATGAGGAACCTTACGGTAGTGAGGTTTTCTGCTCGTGCCTTGGACGATCCGACAAGGCCAAGGGAAGCAGGCAGCCCCTCATTACTCCCCAGCTTCCTGTGGCTTGCCTGGATGCTACTACTGTGAATGCGGCTGGTGCTGCTGTGAATACTGCTGCTGTGGATGCTGCTGCTGCTGCTTCTCCTCCTCCCACCCTTGCGGCTGCAGTGCCTGTAATGTCCTCGTTCTCGGCGGCGATGTCTGCTTTTGTTGACCCTACTGTCCCTGCTTCTGCTGTTGCTGCTTGATACGCTGCTGCTTCCAGAGAGAATCATTAGCGCTGCACCACTGTGCTTCTCCAAGTGTTTTTTGGTGCTACTGCCTCTGCTGTGGGGGGGCACTCGCCTTGAGTTGCTGCTGTTGCGCGATGTTGTGTGGTGCCGTTGCCAGCCCCAGGGGTTGCTGCTACTGTCTCTGCTACTCGTGCCGCTGCTGATGCTGTTGTCCATCTCTGCTGCCACGCGCCTTCGCACACGAGAAAGGATTCTGCTGACGATGTGCTGCGGGGTGTCAGTATCAAAAATGCTACTGCGAGGGTCCACTGGGCAGCTGCTGCTGGTGTTGTGTAGATTCTGCTGTGGTTTTGTTGCGGCAGTTGCTTGTGGTGCAGCATGTGCTGCTAGTGCTGCACCATGTGCAGCAGGTGCTTCTGCATGTGCTGCTGGTGGTCTGGCTTTCGCTCTCGGTTTTGCTGCTGCTCGCAAGGCCTCTCTAGCGGACAGCATCCTGCATGCTGCTGCTGAGTGCCTTGTCGAATCACGAGCCTCGTGTCTGGGGCTGCTCTTGAGTGAGGTGGGGTGTGCAGCGTGAAGACAGTCATGTTCTGTTGCAGCTGCAGGTATCGCCGCCGCTACCGCTGCTTGTGCTGCAGATGTTTTCGCTGCAGTTGCTGGAGCTGTTGCTGCTGGAGCATCTCCTGTTCGGGCTGCTGTATCGGGCGCCGGCTGCGCGCGTTTGCCGTCGATTGAGAAGGTCAGGCACATGCCGCTTATGTCTTCATTCTTATCTGCACGTGGTCTCTGCAGCGTATGCTGTTGCTTATGTTGAAACTGGTGCAGCTGCTGCTTCCGTGAAGCATGCTTGCGCTGTCGGTGCGCAAATTCGTTGCGAGCTTCGACACGCCGCGCTGTCTGTGCTGCTGCAGAAGCATCCATGCTGTCCTTGATTCGCTGGTGAGCCGCCCCGCGTTGCAGTCGACCAGCTAAAAGTGTGCTGCTGCTGCTGCTGCTGCCGATCACATGGGCGCGGGCTCCTGGGAGTGCAGCTGCAGGTAGGACATACACCGATTGCCCTTGTCCGTGCATCTTGTGTTGCTGCCGTTAGCTCTGCGGCTGCTGTTGCTACTCCTGTGCTGCAGTGGTGGCGAGATGGTGAAGCGCCGTGCATTCCACTGCATGCCACACTGCCTCTTAGATGCTGCAGGTGTTGCATCTGGTCCCTGGAGCGTTGTTTGTGGAGGACATTGTCCCGCGGCAGGTACTAATACTGCTGAGCTGCTGCTACCCTTGAATCCCGCTATTTCAAGCCGCCAGCGCAGCAGTAAAGACAGCAGTACCACCCGTAGCTGCGCCCACCTAGCAATCCAGGACTTCCCGCTGCAGCCGCCTCTGTGGTCCCGGTGCACCAGCAAGGGTTAACGAATGCTGAAACAGTGTAAGACGAGGTGTAGAAGAGTCTGGACATATAGGGAAGAATATGCCCGAAAATTGTGCCGTCGGTTCCCCTGGGCCCGCCTTAAGACCTACACCTGGCTAGTCCCTTCGACTTGCTAGCAATACGGCCCTCTCCGCAGGAACCTGCGAAGTTATAGCTGGCTTTAGAGGCTTCTTTGCCTCAAATTTGATTGTGAGGCCAGCAGGAGGCAGTTTCAGCGGAACAGGTGGTGGGGTTGGTGTGACATGCCAGCCTATGAATCCACTAGGTATTCAAAACATCATACCCTGGAGGTTTCGAATGCTGTCCAAAATGCAAATATGATTAGTGGCGGGAAAAACTCGAAAGGGACGAGCAAGTAACCCAACCAGCCGGAGGAGAAAACTTGTGTTTTCTCCTTACTCCCATGAGGCGGCTGCAGCCGAACAGCACCAGCCTCTCAACAAAGATAGCTCTTCATAAACAAGTAGTGTAGATAGAATTAACTGGCTTCAAAAGAAATAAGTGGAGACGTTAGTTAAAAGCCAAGGAAACAACGAAGACGTAATTCAGAAGGTCCATTCCTCTACGCGTCTGCGACCTCGTCGCCTACGAAGTGAAAACTTGGAGGCGATCTTTCATTCGCAACTCCAAGCCCTAAAGTTTGAGGCATAAAACTCAAAATAAAGATTAAGGCAGAGTTCCACCCATACGGAACTTGTGCAATCGCTTTCCATGTGTGTGAATTCAACGGGTGTTGTTGATTATTTGCCACCCTAATTAATTCAATGACTTTGATTAACGAGGTCTTCTGGCTGTATGTGCCAGTCTTATCCAGTGCCAATCTGCGTGTGGACAACGCTGAGTGTGTGGGCGTTGGGTGTGGGACAATACTACATAACATTCACTAGCGTCTGTGGCTGCGTACTGCTGTTTGTTCCATCAGAGTTCCTCTACGTTCGACAGAAAATGCGGCCTGGGTGCTCCGAACCCACGTAAGAAAAAATCCCTCTCCGTGGAGCGCATGGTTACACATGACCCGTTGCCTCTGTATATCGATAATAACGAATTTGCACCAACACTACTGGCGCGGGTATGAATTCCAGCCGCGTAGTTGTCTCTGGCGTTTGCTTGGTACCTCGTGCATTCTTCTGCCTTCCCCGGACCCCAAGACAGCACTGCTCACCTGCTAGCGCCAGGGAAGGCTAGGAAATGAATGAAACTTAGCTTCGACGGTGCCTGAAGATACTCTGTTCTGCAACGGGGACTGTCTCCCCCACCGTATGTGGAGATCAGCAACTAGGCTTTTAAGCCGAAAGCCCCAAATTGTTAGGCATAGGCAATCATATTCTATTGGAGTACACCAAAACAATTTCATCATCAACTCCGATTGCTCTTCAGGCCATGAATCCGCATTGTAGCACGGGTCCTCGGGTTGCCATTTGTTGTAAGTGGATAAGGGTAATTCATCAACGGATGTCCACTAATAAGCGCTTTATTTCACAAGTGGGATAAAGCGCAGGCGCCAGGTAGCAGTTGTTTATAGGAGCTGTATAGTATGGTCTGTTGCATCCAGCAGAGCGACGGGAATCCGTCAGCTCTCCATAATCCTCATGAGCTGCATTTACATTAGCTTGTTACGGTGTACTTGTTTGTGCATTCACTGCAGAGAGAGGGAGAGAGAGAGACATTCCAGCGAAGCGACGCAACGGTCGGTAGGACAAGACTACTTCGCTCCGCCAACACTGGCTCCGAGTTGCCGATTCTTTGTGCGAGCATTAAGAACGCCAATTTAAATTGACTATCATAGACACCTGCTTTCCAGAAGACGGGAGAGGAAGAATGGCAAGGAAGCTGCACCAGCCATCCTGGAGTAATTAAGAGCGCTGGCCTAGAACAATCAAGCACAGTCTGTTGCCCTGGAAAAAGCGCTTTTCCTTCGCAGTCTGCGAGAGCCTGAGGATTAAACTCTAAGGATCACCAAAATCCTGTTTTGGCAACCCTCCTATTAGGTCGATGCCAACATTCCCACAGTCAAACATACTTTTTTTGGTGCTTTGGACCTGTTTTACAGATCCCGATGCACTGGAAGCCCGGACTGCCCAGCAGTACAAAATTTATCGGACCCAGCAAACTCTACTGGAGATTACGCCAAGCCCGTAAAGCTTGTTGAATCAGGTAGTATTGGGGTACTTATGACAGGCACTCAGTGCAAAGCAGTTCTGTTACAGGACTTCTACCCGTCTTGTGTTCAGCTCTACCAAACAAACCGTATTGCAGCAGCTACTTAACAGGAGCGCGGCAGCAACAAATCCCGGATTTGCATGCCGAACACCACACCAGTACGGCACTACCGACTGACGTACCAGCTCATCAGAAGTCTATTTTGCTACACTTCAAGACCTCAGAATACATCAGGAATCCTAATCAGCTGGCAATGTAATGACTGATAACATATTTCGAAACTTTGTAGTGAGTTTAGATCAGCAGATTATCAGTCAATAACTGCATCAAATCCACAACACTTTAACCGGTGAAAGTGATTAAACCGTTTGAGCGGATTATTGTGGCGAGTTTCACAGTGCCCCGCTCCACAGGCTAATTCCGTATCCAAACCGCGTTCTAGCAAGGACTTAGCTGCCAGTAATGCTTGCGCTTGATGGCCCCATATTTCAAACTTTCAACACGTTACAAACCCATTCCGTAAAGGTTTCGACCTTCGATGCTTTTAGATGCAGAACCTTGGCCCAACGACGATGGGCTGCCGCTGAAGTGCTAATATTTGGGGCTGAAATGCCACCCAAATATTTCAGAATTAGACTCCCACAGGCACTTGAAATATTCTGAAATTAGACTTCCACACACACTTCAGAATTTTGGAATTGTACATGCACACGCTTAGTGTCGAAAACAGTTGTCCTGGGAAGGCAACTACTGAGGAAGAAAACCACTTCTCTACATCTCCAATCTCATGTGGTTCAAGATGACGAATGTGAAGAAGGAAAAAGCCCTCTCTATTGCAAAGGAGCATATATATGCATTTATCCCCTGAACCTGCTTATGGCTTTTGTATGCTGAGCACCCCTCAATAAAGTTGGTTCTCCGGCGCCTGCTTGCCAGTGTGTTTGTCTTGAGAAGTTTGTTTTGCTGTCAAGGCAAAGCCCATTTCAGATGAAAGCGGCTATTCTTCGTCTGATTCCAATATTCTTGAGTTGTAATAGTGCTCAGGTTGCTGATGGTCGTTGGAATATAGATGGCAATTACGTGTACGCGAAAAACGGCAGCCATTCACTTTGAGTGGTATGTCGCTAATTTCATCCGAATACCTCTGCCTACGCTGGCTTGCTAGGCACTACAGTGTGATTTTATGTGTCATAGGTCTCGGAGATACCGAGACTTCGGGAAGTGCCTCATCACGTTTTGAATTCATGCTTGCCCCTGTTGGTGTTTAGTGTTCATTTCTATTCCGTAGCAGCGTAAAGCCTATCCCTCCGGCACCAGAATCGTTGGCACCTCTTAAGGGCTCATATACGCTACTCAATACGGCTGGAAAGCACGCTGTTCCACTCTCAAAACACGATACGCACTCAAAGATTCGAAATGTCGCCTTGACCGTTCCTGATTGAGAGCATCAAACTCTCCAGCCGGATTTAACAAGCGACCTGCTCACTTCTTGAGTACGGAAGAAAGCTCTGTGGCGATAGCACACTTCAGCAGTTGGCTGTAAGATGTGTTGTTGAGCCCTCGTGTAGATTTACGAGAAAAAGCCCTGTGGCGTGCTTTTTCACTGCACGAAGAAAGCCTTCACGTTTCTAGCGGTTTCTACGATAAGGACAACAGCCCAAACCTAAAATACACATGTACAATAGTTCGTACTCCACCGCCGTAGGAATCCTTTTCTTGAAGAGCAAACTGAAAAAAGCCTGCGTGTGTTCTATCACCCTGTCTAGGGGCTCGGCGGAGCCATGGGCCTTTCTGGTTCACTGCAGCCCGCATGGTGCATTGTAGCGTGCAGAGGGGAGATATAAATGTTTCCTAAGACCGAGCTGCACTTGACATCATTTGCATGCATGCAGAGACACAGCTAAGGATAACAGAATTAGCTGTTTAATCAGTACGCGTTCTGCTCAAGGGTGTCAATTGTAGGGTTCAACACGAGCACAATACCAGAAGCTCCCGTGAAAGCGACCACCGACGCCTACCACAGCATCAACAATGGTTTCACTTTCTGAGTGGAGAGCACTGCAGGCGCCCGCGCAATTTTGCAGCATTCACGTGAACCCTAGCCCACCCTGTCCTTACATATGCAGCCGATTACAATTCGTGGAATGCAAACTTGGAGGTGTGCACCACAACAAAAAAGTGAACCGAACTTTCGGTGTTAAGTGCAAAAACAATGGAATCCATGCATTCTCAGTGACAGCCGCCTCCAGCACAACGACGTGCTCAATATATCAGCCAGCATAGCGACGTGGGGTTCCTTCCGCTCAAGCAGTGCATCGAAAGCCATTTAATGAGCCTAGTACTAATTACAGCCCTTCATGAACCCTCTGTATGCATCTGTTCTTCTCTATGTCACTCTCCCGTCGCATCCACTTTAGTCTCCTCTCACTGTGTACACTCTGAAGGGCTTCTCACCAAACTTCCCACACCGCAGCTGATGCTAGAGTGTCACTTTTTGTAGTAATGTGATCTAACTGTGTGCTATTTTCTTCTGTTGTGCAGTCGTAGCCACGCTCGTTCGTTGGACAGGCGTGCATTGCTTCTGGCATTCCAGTGGACGGATGGGGTGAAGTTTTTCGCATATTGCACTTCGAAAAAAGCAAATTGGCCAACTTAACTTGGACTTTGCAGTCTGGTTAAAGAAGTGGAGCTCTCTTGACTATGACCACCACTGCCCGACCCAGCACTTAGGTTCACGAGGCGAGCAGCCGACAGTCACTGGGAGGAATAATCCTGGGGAGGTTTTTCTTTGCTTCACCCGGTGCCACAAGAATCACTTGTAGTAAAGTTATCTCAACATTTATGTGGATATTGTGCTGCAAGAAGATATTATTTCTTCAGGACGATGCGACTCTAACAATCTGGTGCTCCATATGCCGTCAGCGGGATCCAGGGCCACTGGTGCACGTGACGGTTTACTTTGTACCCCTTCGAACCGCGAATGGGGGATGATGCTTCCAGCTTAATAAGACCAGCGTTTAACTGGAGAAGGCAAGCTCAAGGCGGCGTGTCCGTCAGTGTTACTTGAGACGCCGTGTCCAGTGACCGTAGTCCACCGAAGGACTCGTCGAACATCACCTACTCAGATCTTCTTCTGCTTCTAATGGGCTGCAATTTCAGCTGTGCGTCTGGCAGGAAGTGCCAGGGAGTATACGGGGGGCGTTGGGCCGTTGCCATCACGGATCCTCCGAAGCCTGGACGAATCGATTGGGCCAAAACCACAACCGGCGAAGTAACTATTCTCACAAGGGCTGGCATCCAGACTTTTGAAGAATGGATGCGTACAAAGGACTTCAAGATGATCATGCCTCCTTTGGCTCCCCATCCCAGTGTACCATTCGTCGCTGGCGGAGTGCCGGATATTGGTTTGCTAAACAAAATGTACAAAGCGATGCCTGAGGGGCAATTGAGGGCTCGTGTTGCAGCAGAAACAGCAGAAACTTCCCTCTTCTGTGCTCCAAGGCAACATATACCTTTTGTCGTGTACGAAGATTGAGCCGCAGGGTCCATTGGCCTCCTCGAGTGCTCTGGCCGCATAAAGTAGAAATCTAGTGGAGGGCTTTGCGGTAACATTTCCTGTTTGTTTTCCTACTTATACAAAAACAACTGCTCTCGTCTTCACATATACGCGTTGCATGTGTATGAAATGACGCCACTACAAGCTGCAGACACACCAGTGCCCGCGGTTGTGAGCAGTGGGTAGGAGGATGTTCTTAACCGAGTGTGCCCGACCTGGTATTGGGTGCTTTACTCGTCAGTAAGAATATAAGCAAACTTAAACAGAGACGAAATATCAACCTTTCTTTGTCTATAGTCTTTTCTCCGTATCGTCCTCCGACTTTTTACTATGCAGGTGTACTTGGAGGATTTTAGCTAGCAAAAAAATTAAGAACAATCTACCGCAGAGTTCGGGCCAGTATTAGCATAGGCAACACGTATGATGGTGCTGATGAAGCAGTCGGATGCCTTTCAGCGATACTTCCACGTGCATACAGCGCCTTGCCGAGTGGGAGTGTTGCTTAGATGCTCTGGATTTGCTCATTAAAAATAACCGGAGAGTGGCAGCAACCATTTATTACGTGCTTTCGTCCGTCATTCACAAACTGTGAAATTAGTCTTTATCCTCAACTGTGACTGTCAGGTTCATTGCTGGGAAGGTACGGGGATATACAGTGATGGGCTAGTGGACTGTAACGGGAATCCCCTGCCTGAGCTATAGGTAATGGGGTTAAAATATTCAGGTTAAGACTTTCCAAAAAGCGAGTGGTTTATTGTCTTGCTTAGAGGCTTTCTGGACACCACAGCACAAGAAGATGGGGCAAGTGAGAGTGAGAGGAGCTGTTGGTGTAAATTGACTTGCATGACACCTTGCTGCACCTCATAATGCAAGGCCTCATAATGCAAGGGCACATGGAGTTATACCCAAACCCATATTCGATCCTTACAGTGTCGCAGCAGGGTCCTGTTTAACACTGCTGAAACACTGCAGTAGCCAGACAACTGCCAACCGTGGCGCATTGCAAAAACATATACGTGATATAGATTTATTATCAGGTGAGCACCCACTTGCTTGAAAACCTATTCATTACCAAAAGAATTGTGTGCCTGGTTTCGGCTGCAGGCGTCGGCAATCCTGAAGTTTCAGCACACTACCGCAGTGGCGGGACATGCTGGGGAAACTGACGCAGAACTTGGCAGGATCGAGGTGTGAAGCTGCTGCCACTTAGCCTTTTCTTGCTTTTGCACGTTTAATTGCCTACATTATCCCATCAAGTACAAGCACGTGGGGTACGAGAGTCGTCGCGCCCAGTGGGTACTGCGATGACCGTTGAGCCCGCGGCTAGTTCAACGAACGTCGAACGTGACACGCTTTCGTAATAAATCCCAGCAGTCGGCTGGAACAATGAATTCATTTCTTCCCAACTTCAAAGATTCTGCTATTCAATGCTTTATTACTCCATGTACCCTGAAAACAAGGTTTTGCCTAGCAAAAACCCCTGTTTGTGTTAATTGCTGCCGTCGTGGGAAGGCAGGTTGATTGATCTTACTTGCGGATAGAAATGGAATTATACTACTATCGTTTTACATGTTGAGGTTTAATAGTGGTATTTGCAGCATTTTCTTCCCTTCATCTCACCTTTTCCTCAATTTTGCTACCGTGGCTTGCTTCTCGCTCAACGTGATCGCATCGAAGTGATGTGCTCGTATTCTTTAAGGCCATCTGTTCTCTTCCCATAGTCATCACATATCACTTCCAGTCAACTCAGATTCAATCATAACTCTCTTGTTTTCCCGGAAATGAAGGTGCCTTCGGCTTTGGGCGTCCTTGCCTGGGCCACCATTCAGGCGTCGGAAGCAGTTCGTCTGGACAGAAGCTTCCTGAGTAGGTCTCTAAACGGAATAAACTCGAAAAGGAAGACTTTTAAGGCAGAGCATGATGGCTTGGTAGTTGTTTCGATTTTCTTTCCTTTATGAATGCTTCTGGTGTGTGCGCAGGCCTCTCTGCCGAAATAGTAAGTCGCTCGAGATTTGCAAATTTTGCGTGTTGCATTTTGTGTTAATCAGCCTATATTGGTTGGCATATGTTTGCGATGGCTTTTCTATTAAGGAGGGTAGCGTCGTCGGTTGTGGCAACATACGCGCCTCCCTCTGTGGTTGCTCGGGAGTAGTGACGTGGAGCATTGCAATGTTTCATGCTGCGTCTGTAGCAGGGGATTTCGGAACAGCAGGGGACGACTCGGCGGTCGCTTCAAGATGCGCTGGACGACTTGTGCCGAATTGAGGCCCAGGCAGCGTGTAGAAGCGGCTTGGGCCACTACTGCAATGCAACGGTGTATGCGCGATATGACGGAGCAAGCAACAATGTCAACAGCAAAGAATGGCGGTGTTACGCAGAGGATGCCCTTGACTTTGGCGTTGCCCGCGCTGGCTGCGTGGACACTTGTGGCAGACAGAAGATGTGCCCCGGCGCATACAATGGCGTAGCAAAAACTTACCTGTCACGCAACAGCCAGTTGAAAGGCCAGGTGGATGCATTGAAAGCAGAATATTGCAGCGCACCTGCGCCGACACTACAGGAAGCCTTGGACAGAAAGTGCGCTGCTTTTGGTGAAGAAGCATGCAATCAAGGACTTTGGGCCTACTGCGACATTACACTGTACGCTCGCCACGACGTGGGGAATGCTTCCCAGAAGGGGCGGGAATGGCGTTGTTTTGCACAGGATGCGCTTGACTTTGACATGTCTGGTGATGGTTGCGTAGACAATTGTGGGAATCTCATTTCTTGCCGGGGTGCGGTGAACGGCACCTCATCCAAACACTTATCTCGCGGAAACGAGATCTCCTCAGTAATTCTTGGAGACAAGGAAGAGGAGGAGGCCGTCGAGGCTCCTGATGCTACAACACCTCCGTCAATGCCCCCTTCCAAACTTCAAGGTGCCTTGGACGGGTTCTGCGCTGAGGAGGGGAGGCGCGCCTGCGGACAAGGACTGAATGCCTACTGCAATGCCGACATGTTCGCGCGTTTCGACGTGGGAACCGCGAGCCAGCAGAATAAGGAATGGCGCTGTTATGTAAAGGAATCTCTAGATTTCGGCATGTCCGGTGAGGGTTGTGTGGACGATTGTGGGAACTTCACATCTTGCCTTGGTGCGGTGAACGGTGCCTCCACTACACACCTCACTCGGGATGCTGGGCTAAGGTCAGCGCTTGCTGCAAACAAGGACGAATTCTGCAAGACTGAGTCAGACGCCCCGGAAACATCTGAAGAGGAGGAGGAGGCCGTCGAGGCTCCTGATGCTACAACACCTCCGTCAATGCCCCCTTCCAAACTTCAAGGTGCCTTGGACGGGTTC